TCCCTTTTTTTGGAGATTTGAAATAATCTCCAAATAAAATTTAACGATCTGCCCGCAAGCGCCCTCCCGCCAAATCTGGTCAGATTATCTTCACCATAGGGAGGGTACTTGCTCGGCATCTACAGTAAACTTGCGTAATGATTGCACTTTTTTTTTCTGTGATCTTGATGGGATGCGGTGCTTCCAGAGAAGTGTGAAATTTTGTTCAATAAAATGAACCGCGGCACAAAGAAAAGCGACAAGATCTCCCGGGTAGTGCCGCATGCCCGATGCTCACAGATGGCGCTGTGTGATGACACCACAGTGTGATGAAGGCCCAGCACAGCTATTGACATTTGGAGACCTATTTGACCGCTCCCAAGTATGCGCGCTGGCTCTCTTCTTCCTAGCACGGTGCAAAGAAAAACTCGGCCAGGGGGTGGGAAGAGCCGGCAAATTATAGAAAGATTGAAACGAGTGAACACATGTTTCAAAGGGCCCCTAAACGACACAGAGGTAGCAATTAAGTTGTAGCATTACAGTTGAGCAAAAAGATACGTCGTACACACAGTGATGAAAGTCTTTCGAAACAGTGTTGAAACGGCGCCGTGACAGTAAACGTATCCTCGTTTGGAGATCAAAATGCACACTTGGTCCTTTCACTTATTTCTTCACTGCACTCTGTTTGCCAGCTCATCTCTCCTCCTCGCACAGGTCACCTCCTAGCTGCGTGAGGAGGAAGAGCAAGGAAGGCGTATATCCGCTCCAAACAAACAAGTTCTTGTGGATGCTGATGTGACCAGATGTGGGTGCCACCGCCACATGGGCAACACAGGGCAAACCTAAAAACCCCCAAAAGGTGCACGGCACCATTTTTCAATACTGTGGTGCACTCGCGACTCGTAGGACTGCAACATCTTGCACTGTTCGCATTCTGAACTTTTGATGTGTCTGCTTACTTAAAATGTTAAAATAAAATATGAGAGATGGGCTAAGGGGGCATTTTGACACTATCGAGAACAGCCCAGAGTGCACTATTTTCAGCTCAATCCACCAAATTTTAGGAGCCAGCATTCGGGATTAGGACACCACCTGTCGCATCTTTTCTCTTGTACCTGGTTACATGAATGTGATATTTTAGTGATGTTCAAACTAAAACAGTTAGCAGATTTGGCGAGTTGGAATATACTTATGATTGCCAGTGCAAATGAGACACAGGACTAGAGCAGCACAAATGAAACATGCACTGTCTAACAACTGGAAGTTTAATGAAGAAGATATGCTGTAGCCGGTAGCACAAAAAAGAGACACAAGCGAAAAATAGACGCACAAGAAAAGCGCTATCGCGTGTTTCTGTTTCTCACTCGTGCTTCTTCTCCGCACTACCTTCTTCAGCATGCAATCAAACTAACTCGACCGATTTCCAGTTATGAAGAAACAATAATTTAATAATAATTTTCAAGGCATTGCCCCCCAAAACCACCATACGATTATAAGGGACACTATGGACAAAACTTCCACAGTTTCGGCCATCTGGTGTTTTTCCACCGGCACCAAAATCTATATGCATGGGCTTGTAGCATTTCATCTCCATCGAATTGTAGCTGCCACAGCCGGGCTGCGATCCCGTCAATCCCACAAATTATTTAAACAGCATGAATTTTGAATTGTATAATATTTTTTTAGGGTGGTACAATACAGTTGATCACTGCCTCCCTTTCTGTTTAAAAGGAGAAAATTTTGGGGGCTCATTTCTTTGATGCAACCTTAGGAAGAACCTGTCTGAATATTCCTGTAGAGTTGTTGATAAACAGTGCCAGGCACCTTGTCTTCAGCCTAGCCAAACATTGCATCGCCGTTTCGATTCCCTCGAAAAACATTTATTTAGATTTCCAGATTGTGAAGCACTGCTTTTGATAACTTATACCCTCTCAACCACTGATGTCTCTTTAAGGGGAGACGCGGGTCGAAAAGTCGCGTTTTTTTTCCAAATTTCACCTTTTCTGTTTTTTGTTGCTTTATCATCTTTATACATTATATTTTGACATCTGAAAATATCACAGCGAAATAAGCATCAGAAGTCAGTGAAAAACGCGTCTGAGTGAGCGGCAGTGACGCGCGGCATCACGAAATTTACACAAAACGGGCTGCTGTTCGCGTGCTCGCGGGGCCGCGAAGAGAGCTGTCCGCCATATTGCGGCCGCTGGCTCGTGTAGAGTTGTCCTTACTCTCCACGATCCCGGTTCTTGAAGTCTCGTACGTTCACGAAAAATCTAAAAAAAAAGCAACAAAAACAGTCTTTTCCCGCCGTTTCAAACCGCGCGCCACTAACGCAGGGCCGCCATTGGCTGACAGCACCCGTGTTTTCTTGCCGTAGTTCGCTTCACTGTTTTCCGGAGTTATTTTTCGCTGTTTTCGTGCGATGGCAAGCCCGAAAAAGGCCGTTGCCGACCATCGGAAATACAGAAGTAAGAACAAGTTCAGAGGGAAGCGGCGGAGGACGTACAAGAAAGCCACCGCCAACGAAAATGTCCGCGACGGGCCAGCGGCCGGTAGGCCTAACATCGACCACGGCAACGTCGACCATGGCAACTGCGACGACGAGATCAACGCTGCAGTGAATTTTGTGAGTGCATCTCAGAAAAAGATCGCGTTATTCGAAAACGACGTCAGGCCGAATGCCGATCGTACCGAAAGCGTAGTGCTGTGCGAGTTGGGTGCATTGACGGCCGTCGTCGCAGGCGCGGCATGCCCCGTTTGTCACGAGAGTAAACTCGCAGTTCGGGCACCGAATAAAAAGCGGAAAGGCCTTTCGGCGTTTCTGGAGCTACACTGCGAGAATGCGGAGTGCTCAGAGAGCATCCTTTCGTCCGCGTACTCGTCGAAGCGGGTCGCGTCAGATGGCGGCCGCGGTGCAAGCAGAAGCTACGACAGCGGGAGTTCGCGTGACGCCTTTGCCGTGAACCTGAAAGTGGTGCTTGCAGCGCGTGCCGTCGGTATCGGGCATGAGCAACTTTCACGATTTTGTGCAGTAGTTGGATTGCCAAACCCTATGCACCATAAGACCTTCCATGCTATCGGCAAAAAGATTCACAGTGCGGCAGTGAAGGCTGTCTGTGAAAACATGCAAAGGGCACGCAGCGTCACCAAAGAGGTGGCTGGTAACAGTGACGTGCCAGTCATGTTTGACGGCACATGGCAAAAAAGAGGCCACAAAAGCCACAATGGTGTGGGAACTGTAGTGTCCTTGGACACTGGTTTGTGCCTGGACTATGAAGTGCTTTCCAACTTCTGCCTGGCGTGCAGTTTGCATAACGACATGGGAGGCGATGAAGAAACATGGCAGGCGTTTCATCATCCCGTTTGTGAGAAGAATTGCGACTGTTCTTCGCATGCCATGGAGGCCGAAGCTGCAGTGCGCATTTGGCAGAGGACTGTGGACTATGAGACACCCCTGCGGTTCACCATCTTCCTAAGCGATGGAGACAGCAAGGCCTACAACGGGGTCTGTGATGCCAACGTGTACCCTGACACTCCAATTGAAAAAGAGGAGTGCACCAACCACGTGGCGAAACGTCTGGGCACCGGCCTGCGGAAGCTGCCAACGCCACTTCCATGAGGGGAGAAGCTGAAGGAGACCACCATCCAGAAGCTTCAAACTTACTTTCAGGTGGCCATTGTGAACAATCGGGGAAATGTCCACAAGATGTACACTGCCATATGGGCCTCATGTTTGCACTCGTGCTCAACAGACGGTGCTGGAAGTCACAAGTTCTGTCCTGCAGGCCCAGACTCGTGGTGCAAGCACCGACGTGCTGAGGCGCAGGGCCAGCCTGCACCGTGCCACACCCCCCTCCTGACCAAGGCCCAGGGTTTGGCAGTCCTCCCAATCTACAAGCGTCTCACAGATGCGAAGCTGCTTGCCCGGTGCCTCCACGGCAAGACACAGAACGCGGCCGAGTCCCTGAACAGCAAAATATGGCTGCTGTGTCCAAAGACCCGGTTTGCTTCCCGGACTGCTGTGGAAACAGCCACAGCCATTGCAGTCCTGTGGTTCAACCGGGGCCACGCGAGCTTTGAAAAGGTGCTGGAAGAGCTTGGGGTGCTTCCTTCGGAGGCCCTGGTTACCCTCAGCGACCGCCGAGACAGCATGCGCATGCACAAGATGAATGTGCGTCAGACCGCTGAGGCGAGGGCACACCGTCGCAGTGCAGCCAAGAGGGCCCGGGTGGAAGAGTCCTGCCGCACCAGCCGGGAAGGGAAAACCTACGGTGCTGGAGAGTTTTAGACAACTGATATTCCCTCTGGACATGTGTGTATGTGTTCAGCACAAGTTTCGTGCTACTGCGTTTTTCATTTTTGTAAATACAGACTTTCAAACTTTCAAACGCGTTTTTCTCATTTCGCAATTTTGGCCAATTTGCATTTTTTGCGGGAAGTGTTTCGGGCACTTAGAATGGTCATACGACGACGAAATTTGGCACACACATTGAGGAGAGTGCGTAGAGTGCCGATATCTACTTGAATCAGCACAACCTATCAGCTGTAAATATCTATTAATAAATTTAATGGTGGTCGAGTGGAAAAAAAAGGGTAGTTTGCTACACACATGTTTTTTTCATAGTTTCAAAGTTGGAGCACAATTTCTAGCTAGATATCGGCACTCTATGGCTAATAGGGAGCAAAAGGAGCCATTGAACAACTCTCTGCATGAACATTTAGTATGCGCGAAAGTTCCCGGAAAACTTATCAAGTTTCACCATTACTTGAAACACAACTCCCAAACTATTGCACTTATGTAAAAACTGATTACAGATTTGGAATCAGGAGGAAAAACTGCATCAGTGGTCCAATTTCTGAAGCTCTAAGTTGAATAACAAAAAAAAAGTGCTTTCGAGGAGCGTCTCCCCTTAAGACATGACAACACAGTTGATTCTTAATTTTTTTTTTTTTTAGTTTCTGGAAACAGGCCAACTGAAGCTCGAACACAGGACTTTTTAATGAAACTTGAAGGCCCATACCTGACTGTGGCTGTTTTCCACTTGTGCTCGTCTGTAAAAAAGAAGAAAGAAACAAAAGAAGAAAAAAATGGAATAAAATGCGTGAAAGTGCATGTAATGCAATACTTCCGGGGAGAAAACAACAGCTGAAGCTTATAAGTTACCACTTTTACAATGACTTGGTTTAAATAGACAAACTGCACTATGAGAACTCAAATGCCTTATGTTTCTTTATAATACGGTCATTATTAGCAGAGAAAATCAAGGTTGAAGTTATTTTTTAAATTTTGCACCAACGATTCCACGTGTGACGTCACTGATTAAAAAATGTATCTTTCGTATTTTCGCGACGCTGGCTCGATAAGATTTTGTGAAACTTTGTATGTTAGATCTGTGACTACCACAGATGACAATTCACTTTATTTTCATTCACCAGAAGCTATGTAGGACCGTGTAGACTCTTTCAAAATCTAGGACGTCACGGTGTTTGGTTAGGAATGCGAAGGTGGCATCTCCACCGGCATTTTCTTTGTGTGTGTTTGCCCGCTTACCAAGCATCATCTTGAAGTACGAGTTTTGTGCTTTGGATTGCAGAATTGTACTTGACTAACATGAAAGAAGTTGTTATTCTCTTTAATGACTTTTTGACACAGACTTCAACTTTTTTTTCTAACAGCGATAAGATAGACATCCCGACTGAAATTGACATTGGATATAAAGACCAATGCACAAAATTCAGTACACATCACATAATGCATGCATCACAAGCACAGCGGCAAAGACTGCCTTGCTTGTGATGCATACCACAAGCTAAGCCAATAGATTGACACCCTCAAGAACAATTAGCTGAGTGAAGTAATCAAGCACAATAATATTCCAAGCAGTATTAGATATTAAACCAGCCTTAGTCATTAGTGTACCACACATACAAGCATATGTATGTACACATATACGTAGGCACACAAACACATGCACCCATACACACACACACACAAACATTCACACAAGCACACACATGCACAACAAACAACAGGAAAAATCCCTTATGTGACAATGCACTGGCATCTGCACCAATTACCACAGTTTTCACTGAATTTCTCCCTGTGTTGAAATACAATGTTAGAGCCAGGGAACAATCACACGACATAATGGCAGCACAACACTGCACAGATCCGGCGTCTCTCGTCGTTGTGCTTGAGCACTCAGTCTCGCCAAGTTAAACTAGGGCCACAATTTATTGATGATTACTTTCAGCGGTGATGTTGCTTTGCGTGACATGTAATCTCCTGTGTCCCATGATTGATCGCTTTGCATGATGTGTCCAACAAGTGAGAAGTCTACTTGCCTGTGTTCCTTCTAACAACCGCTTGATTGATTGATTGATTTGTGGGGTTTAACGTCCCAAAACCACTATTTGACTTCTAAGAACTGATCAGCCTGCACTGAAAGTCATACCTCTAACGCGACTGCCTGAGAATACTGCCCTTAAATGAAACGCCACCAAACAGCATGAAATCGCAGAACACAGCGTTTTGAGCCGCTAGAAGTGCAAAAATGCAGCGAGTTTGGAAGCATTATCCTGTTTTTTGCTACCCTGTATACAGAGCCCACAAATCGGATACGATGTAGGCAGGTAATGAGGACGACACATGACATGGAACTCCACAAACAAGTGAGAAGAAAAGCACGTCGGTGTTGGTGCCCACCTCTTGGCCAGGGTGCCCCTCATCTCGTCCATCATGCTGGCCATGCCCATCATGGGCACTCCCCCACTCCCTTGCGACTTCTTCAGCGTGTCTGTGCCTTCGTATATCTGCTGGGAAGAGAAAAAAGGAAGGCAAGGCATGAGCGACAACTGGCACGACGGGTGCAACGGTCCATTTACATAGGGTACTAGTATTCCAGTGACATCAGATGCGAATGGCAAACAGCACAGCCAAGGCATAACGGAACATTTAACGTGGGTCATTGGCAAGCCTTTTACCAGGAGGCCATGGTGCTTGACCCTACAGCGACCGCTTTGCTTCAGTTTTATTTTTTATTATTCGCTTTCTCAAGCTAAAAAAAGCTAAACCGCAATAGGAAAAACATCCAAACATCTACAGAAGGAAACATTGCCCCCAAGACAGCACAAGCACCTGGAACTTGATGCTTGTCGTCAATGCAAAAAATCTTCAGCCAATAGACAACCTTCTGTAGCTTCTCCTACTTTAAGTGCTGCAACTATTTTTAAATGCTCATGAACACTGTAACCACGTTATTGCAAACAAGCACAGTAGAAGAATGTGATGGACCAAATTAAACCAAATTATCCGAAGTATGCCTTGCATACGATAACAAACTTCCACGCCTCAAAGCTTTATTTACTGCCTGTGCCGTGTTCAAAAAGATGCTCTCAGCTAAAGGCATGGATGTAAATGACATGTAGTTTGCAGCGTACTTACTTGGACCATTAGTATATACTTACAATGGGGCACCAGAGGCTAGTCCACACCTAACAATAGATTCAAGTAGCATTCAACGTGCATAGCTGTGGCATGCAAAATGACGCTAAGTGCTGCAGCTTCTCGCCAGGGCTTTCTCCTCTATTACCTTTGCCTGCCTTTTCCATGAGTATTGTTTTGAATGAAATTTAGTCACGAGGCCAGCTATTTGCAAATACACAATCAGCTTTTATATATTATTTACTGCCCAAACACGACATCCCTGTACCTAGCCCATGTGACCTATGTGCATAGAGTTAGGGCCATGGGACACAACCCTACATGGTTGAAACTTATCTGAGGTCTGCCAGTAAGGTGTGCCTCATAATTACGGCGAGAAAAACTCCTGAATCTAACTTTGTTTAGCATGCCCACAGCACAAAATGGTTCAACATTTCCCTGCCCGTGACGCACCTTGTTGGAGGTCTTCTTGAGCTTCGCGTTTGCCAGTGCCGTCGCGAGGGACAGGGGCGCCGAGTCGTCTTCCCGGCCCTGGCTGCCCCCAGGGGGAGGCGGGGGTGGGGGAGGAGGAGGGGCTCCCCCAGAGGTCACGCCTCCCGACGGGGGCGGCGCCGGAGCAGGCGGTGGCCCCACGGCGCCCACTGCCACGCTCATGCCTGAAGTTCCCCCTGGAGGTGGCGGGGGAGGTGCCCCGCCATTGGTTCCCGGTGCAGATGACGTCCGGTGGTGTCCCATGATGGCATTGGGCTGCGTTTGTTGAGGCATCTGAGGCGGGGCTTGCGGAAGGGGCGGAGCCTGGGGCGGGCCACTTGCAGGCGTCGCTGGGTGGCTGGAACTGCCCACTGCGAGATGCATGGTTAACATATATATTTGCAGGTCTAATCATGACATTGTAAAAGCAGGTACGGTCACTGAGGAGCTAGGAAGGAGGTGCGACATGGGTGCAAACACGGCCTACAGTTCCCTGTGGAGAATAACGGACGATGCTCTTGATAAGACAGGAGCTTGGGTTAGTTGGTGATTGGGAATCAACATATTTGCGCTGTGCAAATATGTCGATGTTCTTGACCAGAGAGTAGACAAGGTTGGATAACAGTGCCACTAATTAATGGTCCTGAAGGTGGGTACTAGCCCCAAAGCACAATCACACACAGTCTGAAGGAACCTGTGCACCTCCCCATTGGCTCGGCCAAGGTAGAGTAAATATATACAATATAGCAAAAAAGAATGTATATCACGCATCTACCATGCACATGTCAGCTTGCTCAGACATGAGCAAGACAAATCACATTCCACACTCATTTCATGGGTGTGGCAGCATTACTGGTGAGTGGACATGACCACAAGCTTTAGTGAGCACCCGTGTTCGTGAGTGAGCAACAGGAGTGATAAGCAGTTAACGTGAAGTGGAATGAAAGCTGGTGACAAGGATTCCATGTCGGCATGACTAGATACTGTAAAAAAAATAAAATATAGATCAAATTTTTTTTCATAAAGCAGCCATACAAAGTCGACCCTCATTTATATACCAGTCATTGGCAGAAAAACTTCGGAAGTCTGGCCACTATGGGCAAGTGAAGTCAACCGCTTCCATTGCCACTGCAATCATCGACGCTTTGTTTGTTACCAGTCTTGTGCCATGAGCGGCCTCGTTTTTCATTTCTGTTGATGTTTTTCCACGCTGTTTGGGCTCTGAGCTGCTTTTTTTTCTTGTTCTTAACCAGTGGCTGACCACGATTGAAGGCATGAAGAAATCTGGTCTGAAGTGTGTCAAAGATGTGTTTGGATGTTAGTGCACATGATCGTCAGTGGGATCCGTGAGTCACAAACAATAACAAAGTTTGTCTGCATGGGTGTTCTCGCTGCTCAAATCTCCCCAGACTGTAGCATGTTGCGATGGTGGCAGCTCTGATTACAATGGCCAGTATGGCTATGACCAGCAGGCAGGTTGTGTGCACCACAGAAGCATTAGCAGGCGACCGGGGAGTGCTGGTCGATGCTGAAGGATCACATCACGACACGTAGCGATCAGGAAAAAACTATGTTTTGGTGCGAGACCGCAGCATATCTAGAGCTGGAGATGAAGGTCGAAGAATTTTTCCAGGAGCCGCACTCGCCTCACAATTGCTACTGGTGACCTCAAAGCGCATCCAAATTGAATATTTCAGATGGCTGTGACGTTTGTGAGCCCATCTTCTGGCTTTCTGCCATGTGAAAAATAGGGAGTTTTAGAATAGCGCCCAGGGAGCCCTTGCGGTGCGGTCGCTGCCACTGGGCATGCGTCGTAACGCGAGTCGGCATTCCCGGACCACACGCAGAAAATCCGAAATTGCATGCGGAGATCGTGGCCCGAGTGTGGCCCGCAAGCACTGGTTTCGAGGTTACGGTGTCACTGCGATCGTGCGGTTTGCAGCAGAACAAAGGCTATTCTAAAACTCACATGGCACCCGCTACGCCCGCAGCGCTTGCAAACGGTATTCTAAAACTCCCTATTTTCATGTAAACACATGCAAATAAATGGCATTTTGACTGTGCACTATTTAAAATTGCATCTATTTCACGGTAAAGGTGCCTCCTGATACTTTAGACATTTCATGTAACTTTTCTTTTCTGTCGATCTTCAGTACTTGGTAGTAGTAGTCAGGAGGGTCGACCTATACACTGGTCCGACCTATATTCCTGTTCTTACGGTATATCACTGAGCGCCTCTAAGTGGGAATGAACGCAACAGGAATGAGCGCGAATGGTTGCCTGTAATTGTGAGTGAAATTACCACGCACGTAAGTGAGCACTGGCACACATGAGTAAGCACGAACAGAAATGTGTAAGTTCTGATAAATGCAATAACATAAGGACCTGATCAAATGTGAAAAAAAAAGGCAAACGATACGTGTTTGGGCAGAGTCACAAATTTCACGTAAGAAAAAAAAAAGAACCGTCCCGCCATGCTTCCAGGAGCCGAGATCACATGAGATATATGTGCTTGACCATTTCAGCAACAGCCATTGAAGCGATATCTCACAAGCATGCAGGATGAACAAAAATTGTATGTAGAAAGCATGCACTTTCAAGCACAAGTTCAATGCTTTCAACAGCAAAAGAGAGCACTGTAATTTACTAATGTAATGGGCAGTGAGCACAACAATCAGAGCCGTCTAAGCGGGCCATACTCACTTGCATTTGTCGCCATGTAATGGACAGGTTGCTGATTTTGCCTGCAAGACAAAAATGAGCATTAGAAAGCACCACTAGAGGAGTCACTAGACAGCAAAATCATGGCAATAACTCTATAAATTGGTAACTACGAATTCTCAACGAGACATCCGTTACCCACTTTGTCAAACTCACTTCGGCAATCTTTTACAGCTTCAAATCTACCCATTTAAATCGAACATATTTTCCTGGTCTCTTCAGGTTGCATTTTTAATGAGAGTCTGCTGTAATGAGAGACTGCTGCCACCATCCGTTTTTCGCACCCTCCATTCTCTCAAAACACTTGTCTTCGGTTCCCTTCAGCCCTGACTAGCTCTAACAAAGAAATTATGCCATCATCTGTTTCATGAAAATCAGCAGGCGATGGGCATCTGCTTTCAGAATTTCGCATGTTGTCACACACAGTTGCTTGTCTTTCATCAGACTGTTTTCGACAAACGAGAGTTACACAATGGTGTGGTGTACTGTGCAAAAGTGGATGTGCCAGTATTGATTATTTTCAATACAGTTAACGCCCAACTTCCCGGACGGCCAAAATTCCGACCATGCCAAATTTTCCGGACTCATCTCCAGCACCGTCAAATTTCCCATAGAGCCAATGTATAAAAAAGTCCAAAATTTCGAATGCTTATAGGTTTCGCCATTTGATCTCCCGAATATTTTACCGCTAACTGCAGACTCGAAGAAACTATTTACACCGCCAATCCGCTTCTTTTCACACTCTCGAACCCACCATACGACCACACCTTCATCGCCTGCGCACTGCGTCGTGGCTGCTGTACCCTCAAAACTGCAATTCACCCAATCTAGCACATGCCAATCCGTTGCCAGCCGTAGCTAAGTCAAATTTGTGGTCAATGCTCACTGTGTTCATTCACGTGTTGTTCTGTCAGCTCTGCGATGGATCGTGTGCTGCTGCACGCTATCTTCAGCATTCATCTTTCCCGATCTTCAGCAGCTACCGAGTTTCTAGATGTTTGGCGCAGCGCTTTTTGTGAAGCGAATTCTCCAAAACAGCCGCCTCGCCCGTAGTAGACAGCATGTGTGACGAACTTCTGTCCGTGGACATTGCCTTCGACAGTCTGCACGCTGCTGGAATTTCAATACCAGCTGGGATAATCTTTGAGGGCTTCGCCAATACTGACAAAGACGTCGAGCTGTGTGTGGCATTGATCGATGATGAAATAATTTAAGTTATGGAGAATTCGGACAATTCTGACACTGAGATCAAAGAGGCAGCGCCTACACGACATACGAGCTTGGAGTGGACGTGAGCACAGATGACACTGTCATCGGTGTACAGCTACAGCATGACCTTAGCTGAATTTGAGGCATACAGTTCCCGACCGATTTTACGGACTCTAAAATTCGTACTTGTTGAATATTTCGGACTTCAAAAGTGCACTGTCAGGGTTCCCATACGGTTAATGCATTTTTTCGACCGATTTTTTGGACGAATTCGCCCCCGAAAGTTGGATTTTTCGGACTAAATGGCTTGTTTTGAGCTGCACCAAGAATCTGTATGGACGCCCCATGTTGGATTTTCCGCCGGCTTGACTATGTTTAGTGACTTAATTTTAAAATGGCTTTCCTGCCCCCAAGATTGGAGAGCAAACGTCATATTTCAGGTGCGGCAGTTTGGGCTAAATGGTATGACATGACGATAGTTATAGCACGAGAACAGAACAACGACAAAGAGACAAGAAGGACACGAGCGCTAACGAAAACCATGTGGCACAAAGAGCAATACATGAGTAAGGAAAAAAAACAAAAGCACAGAAAAAAGCAAAGAAAAGTCTACAAGGAAACGAAACAGAAAAGTAAATGTAATATAACTACTTGCGCGCACCGAAACTTTTGAGGAACCTTAGTTCCTTCTCGGCTAGAAACACAGAGGGCTTACTAATGCATGACACCTGTTCGCCTGCCATCTGCGCTGCCTCGATGATGACTCGAGTGCGCTCATCCCTGTGCTTTTACAGCGTCACTGTGTCCTTGAAAAGGCACACACAGTTGTACTCGGTGCAGTGCTGAGGAAGAAAACCATCTTTTCCGTTTCTAACATTGTTAGCCTGTTCTCTCAGTCGATCGTTCAGACACCTTCCGGTCGTTCCGACATAGCAAGCACCACAGGAAAGGGGTGTCCTATATACAACTTCCCGTGAGCATGCCACATACCTGTTTCTATGCTGAACTCAACATTCATTTAATGGCTGCACTTTCAAGGGGGTTTGTAGATTTGGTGAGAGTGAATAATTTGAACGATGCAGAGAACAGGACACGAGCTCCCACACGTTTTCCGATTCTCTTGAGCCTGCGTGATATCTGGTATTTGTATGGAACAATGGCTATCCTTTCACGCTCTGTATCCGTGTTGCTCAGATCCTGTCGCTGCCTCTGCTCTGCCTTATAGGGCCGCAGGATAGTCTCGGCAACGTAAGCAATTAACGCCTCAGGAAAATCCGAAGCATTAAGCCAGGAAGCTTGATCTTTGAAGGTCGCAGAGATGTCGTAAACACACGACCTATTTGTGAGCGCTCGTGTCCTTCGTGTCTCTTTGTCGTCGTTCTGTTCTGGCGCTATAACTATCGTCATGTCATATTTCAAGCTTCAGAAGCCGTGTCTGCTTTATAAAACGCGGCACGGGGCCATTTTTTTGTCTTCTATCAGCCATCGTGGTCAGCACTGTCGTAATCGCACCGCACAGGGAGGAAACAGAGCTATGACGACAGTCGCCGTTCGCGGCCCGCCCGCAGGAAATCCGGAATAGCGTGCAGTGATCGCGACCCGTGAGGCCCGCGAAGTGTTGTCTGTAGCTTCCGTGCATTTGAGTTTACGGTTGGGATAAAAGTCCCTAAACTTTTCCCTAGGGGGAGCAAATGCTGTTCTAAAGCTCATAATGCATTTGCTATACCCGCAACGCCCGCAGCACCTGCAAACGGTATTTTAAAACTTCCTATTTAAAGACTTCACTCGTGGGGACGATGACAATTTCGTGCGCAGAGCCCACAGATGAAGAAATTCTCCATCAGGTTGCGCCGCAGCCAGAGAGTGGTTCGGACGATGCCGATGCCGATTGCCCGCAACTGTCCGCAGCAGAGATCGCTACCGCGGTGACACTTTTGTCGAGCATTTACGGTGACGACGTCCCCTTGGCGCAAATACGGGCGTACCAAATTGCTTCCAAGCGTAGTATGAGGCTAGGCAGAATCATGGACTTTTTTTAAGCCTGCCTGATGCAATAAAGTTCATATTTTTGACAAAAACAAATTTTTCGAACTGCTGGACTTTTTGGACTTTTTTTCGGTCACCGCCATGTCCCAAAAACCGGTCGGCGACTGTACATCATCGTGGGCAAGTGGAACACCGTGCAAAAGAAAATAAGTGTCTCTTTGGGTCGAAGTGTTGATCAATGAGGTAACGATGCCCGCATAAATTTTTTTCTTCTTTTTTAAATGAACGGCTCGTTTTGAGCCACCAAAAAAATGCATTCACTGGATTTCAATGAGAATCTTGTACTCCTGCTGTGACCCTCTACGTCTGCGAAAAATACCTGCAAAAAAGGTGCGTTTTCATGCGCACTCATCTTTCCGGACATTTCCGTGGTCCTTTGAGGGCCCGAGAAATCAGACGTCGACTGTAATCATCAACATTTAAACATCATTCCTGCCAGCAGCAGGAACAGGGCAATCTTGTTTAGGGCAAGGTAAACATGGGGGAACAGCTAGTGATGAAATTTAGTCTACTTTCCCATACACTTCCTGGTCATTCTAATGACTCCATGTGAGAGCGGACACGTGCAAGGTAGAGGTTCTTTACACGACACGTGGGCATACCAGTTTCGTTGGTGATCTGTGTCTTCTTGCTGAGCGACACTGCCAATGGTCTGATAGATGGGCTGCGACGCATGTTGGGGTACCGGAGGCGGTGCCTGCTGTACCCTTGGCCCTGTCGAACCTGCGCAAGTTGACAAATGCAAATGATTAGAAAAAAAAAAGAAAAGCTGTTAACATTATTATAAACAACTTTATCGGAGAATTGACAAAAGTTCCTTAAATGGGCCCTGCAACACTTTTCTAAGTAACCACCTAAAGCCTTCGTTGAAGGAGCTTATTGCCTCACAAATAGATTGCTGCACGAAAATTTTAGAATCCGTCAAGTACGAGCCGAGATACAGGAATTTGTTGCACACTTCAAACTATGCAGGGAGAAAATGAGAAGGCGGCAAGAGAATGTGTCCCTTCTTAGCATGCGTCCTGACATGGAATACTTTCTCTTTATTTTTTCTTCAAAAGAACGTCTTACTTCAAGTTTAACTGCAGGTGTTTCAGCCAACGGCCGTGAACTTTAGGTATACGGTGCAGTAATTGGGCTGTATGACATGGTTTGCCAAAAGAAGAGAATGAGATTGCAAGCCAGTTTTGAGAATATATTGCAAATTCTATGCTGCATGCCACGCTGTAACACTTGGCTCATGCGTTCTCAGGAGCCTCGATTACCATCTGCAGCGTTTCCTGACCATGCTGAAAAAGTGTTGCAGGGCCCTTCAATACTGTTTACTAACGATTTCTTTGTGTCGTTCTAAATCTTCAATGTTAGTACGGCCCCCTATATATCGTTTGGTACTAATTTGGCACTGGCATCAGCATTATATCAATCAAAACTAAAAAATAGTTTTCATCTTCGCCTCAGCTTGAATCAAGGGCCTCGCAGCATAATGAATGTATGGAGCTACAGAGCTGCCGCAGGAATTTCAGCAATGTACCTAATAAGCACTAACCTACCTACTAAGCTCCACAAAAGTGTGCAAAGGTGACCCTACTTTATAGCTGTACCTGCTACCCACAGTGATATTCTATGTTGCAAGGCAAGTTAAGTCAGGTTAGGCCTACTGCATTTCTTGTAAAATAATATTTTACATGTGGCATACTGTGTTCATTAATGGTTGTTAAGTGTATGCACATATACACAAGTTAAATGAGCTTTTGTCCGTCCACATTTTGCTTTCAGCTGCCCTCTTCCAACTTTCTGTGTATCAACAGTCCTTATGAACAGTACCTCATTATAGTGTAAAAGCTCTTTAATGCGGATTTTAAAGGATCATAAAAATGTCTGAATTAACCGAATGCCAAGTAAACGTAAGTATTCAGAAAACAATGAACAATCCAGAACGTATTTTGCACACGAGCACTGCAAAATCCACAATTTTTAATCACTTGTGACTTCGTTAACAATGTCACTACGGCTCAAGACTCCGAACGATATCAAAAACTGTACGTTTGCCGTAGCCTGCGAATCCTAATTTGCCAACAAAGCACCTGTGGTAAGATTTTAAATGGTGACCGTGCATTTGTGAACTGTCACGGCCGTTTCAGTTGTTCACAAACACATTCTTTGCTCCTATGCACCACAACTGTGGCACTTTGTGGTTGTCACCTCCAAGAATCGTCCAAATTTAAACGTGTTGCGGCCAAATGTGACCGAATGGACGAGAGTTTGAGGCCTTGAACATTACATGTGCTTGCCGAGCGACATGTCTAAGTAGTCCGATTTTTCGACTGGGGGGCCGAATCAACGAGCTTCTACTGCAATCATTTCTTAAGACTACACACTTTCACCAAATTAGCACAAGTTGAATGACGCATCACACAGTGCAGATTGAGACACTGCGAAGTGATAATGGGCATGCTAGCTCGTCTACCTCAACAGACACGCTACGAGTTATAGCTAGAATGCTAAGGAAAGATGTACAAAAAATGTGTGACCGCATGTAGCCACTTTGCACTTTCACTCATAAAAACATGCAGTATGACAAAGTGCTTTTAGTGAGGCCTCGTTCACATTGTTTCTACCAAACACTTGATATTGATTAAAATTAACAATTCTTTATTCACCAATGCTTCCGAGAATCATTATCGTCATGCCACGGACCAAACAGATATTGTAATTTCAGCTGCAATACATGCGACACCAAAGGAAAATATTTTATACAATCAAACCAGGCATATTTGGGTGAAACATAAGTCACAAACATGTATTCAGATACTTGATTTGATTGATTGATTTGTGGGGTTTAACGTCCCAAAACAACCATATGATTATGAGAGACGCCGTAGTGGAGGGCTCCGGAAATTTCGACCACCAGGTGTTCTTTAACGTGCACCCAAATCTGAGCACACGGGCCTACAACATTTCCGCCTCCATCGGAAATGCAGCCGCCGTAGCTGGGATTCAATCCCGAAACCTGCGGGTCAGCGGCCGAGTACCTTAGCCACTAGACCACCGCGGTGGGGTTGTATTCAGATACTTGTAGAATGCAAAGTGTAACCCAATACCTACTATTTTATTATATGAGCCTGATTATTTTTTAACTTGCTATATTTTATTTGTGCTGTCTCACAAATACATTAAAAACAGTTTAGGAATCCATTGTCTAGAATAGAGAAGTTAAAAGCAGATGCACCCTGTGTTTCATAACCAGGAACATTTTCAAATGCAATGCAATTAAATTCCTCGACGAAGGACTCACTGTTTTGGTTGAGCATGTCGATGGCCCGCAGCATGGCAACGGCAAAGTTGTCGGCGTCATCTTTACTGCTGAAGTTGAGGCCGTAGACTGTGCGGTTGTCGCGCCACTGGTGGAACGTGCCCGTTGCCTGGCTATACTTGAGGCCCTTGAGGATGGCACAGTTTATCACCACCTGCAAAGCACGCCACACCCCACTCAGAAAGGAGTCATTGCAACAAGAATGACCGGAAACGGTATAAGGCTGCTTCTGGGGCGAGTTAGAAATTCATACTTGGAAGGGTAGCGCTAGTGGACATGGATTAAACGAAGGCATGCTGACACACTCGGAAGTGCCTTCGTGAGAATGCAGTGTTCTTTTCTATAGCCCGTGCCCCCTAGAGCTACCCTTCCAAGCAACAGCACGGCATCTTGTCTGCAGTCATTAGAAATGCTAGTTAAGACTAATTTCAGCTCAGGTGTAGTTTAGAAGTGTCACGTGAGTTGGCGTACCATACTGTCACGCGTCCTTTTGTATTCTTACATAACCAGCCTGTTACACATGTGACCAGTGTTCTGTGCAGGCTGCGGCAAAATCTTTGAGAACCCTCCCAATTGTTCAGACTTTTCTGATAAGATTTAGCACACAATGAGAACAGTCGAGTTTAACCCACTTGATCCTTAAAGATAACACTGGGAATATTCAATGCTCCATGTACGAATGCCGACACGCCCTACCAGCTGATCAGTTTTGTGATGACCCGTCGATTGTGACTGTTATTGTTGTTGCACATTGAGCGTGACCTCTTTTGCTGGGCACACGTTTGGCCAATAAACAATTCAATCCTATTCAGCTCAAGTTTTACAAGCTTTGCCATCATGACAACGTGAGAATGTACGAAAAGAAGAACCATCACTATGTCAGGGATATGTCAGTTTAGCTACAGGGAGATGACTAACTTAGAAGTGTGGCAGCTCGGGCTAGTTGGTATGGCATGACGATAGTTATAGCGCGAGAACAAAACGGCGACACAGAGACAAGAAGGACACGAAAGACACGAGCGCTAACTTCCAACTGAGCTTATTGCGCAGAGCACGAAAATATATAGAGGAGACAGTAACCATGTGATAAAAACCATATGGCACAAAGAGCAGAACATGAGTAAGAGAAAAACAAAAACAAAAAACAAAAGCACAAAAAAACGGCAACGAAAAATTTATTAAAAAAAGAAACAGAAAAGTATAAATAATATAACTACTTGCGCGCACCGAAACCTTCGAGGAACCTGAGGTCCTTCTCGGACAGAGCCACAGAGGGCTTGCTAATACAAGGCACCTGTCGCGTGCCATCTGCGCGGCCTCGACAATGACTCGGGTGCGCTCATCTCTGTGCTTGTACACAGCGCTCGTGTCTTTCGTGTCCTTCTTGCCTCTGTGTCGTCGTTTTGTTCTCGCACTATAACTATCGTCAGGGAGATGAGGTTTATTGAAGACCATTGCTGGGCTGCACGTTGTGCACACACCACAGATTATTCCAAGGCTGTGTCTATATGTTATCTGCGTGGCATAAAAGCTTTTTGCAAGTCTGCACCTACTTTTGTCTCAAGTTTTATCTATCGGGCATGTATTGACGACAAGTATCATGCCTACAGGACAAGAAAAAATAAAGCCGGCAGTGTGTTTCCCGACAGTGCCGAAATCATGCTTCGTGACATGGGACAGAGGTGGGTTTAGCAAAACGATCAAAAAACAGTCCGATATTGACTATATCAAAATAAAAGTGAGTCCAATAATCGTGTTAAAACAAGCGAATACTATTACAACATTTCCAAACTTAACATTGCGCAAGAGTTATATGACAAAAATTACAACTGTGTTTCAATGACAACAATGCAAGATTGAATAAAAGAGCTGAATTTAAGGGCACATTTTTCTTGATTACACACAACCTTAATGAGAACCAATGAAGAGCAGGGTTGACTAACACTCCCAGCTTTAAATTCACACATATACCAAAACAAAGTGGACGGGAGAATGACCGTGACATGAATTGGCAGAACATTGATTGCATTATTCAAAGCTTGCAGGTTCAGTTCCTGCTAGCAGCATCTCTATTCATTCACTTTAATTTATTCACACTTGTATGATAATCACTACAGTACAGTCAAAAAAGTATAGGTAACGTCCCCTATACCTTCTCCAGCTTCACTATCTTTTGGTTTTCGTGAAGGTCATATCAAACAAACACAAAAAGTAGCCCTTAAAATTCCCTTATTTCTTTGATATCACTAGGAAATTTATCATGCTGACATACAGGGCTCCTAATATTAGTCAAAAACAATGGTAAGACAAGGTCTCCATAAGTTTTGTGTGAAATTTAAAGTTTATGCTGCTTTGTAGCAAGCCAAATATGTAAACGTTTTTTGGGGAGGCTATCTAGTTTTGTGACGGCGTATTTCCTGAAGTTTGTTGGTCCACTTTATTTCGTCCCAATTATATCATAATTACACCAAATAACGTCGCCTCTACTCTTCTAGTGTTGACTACCTGTTGAATTTCGTTAGCAATGCAGGAGTGTTATTTACGTCTCAGTGACTGGGGCAGAAATAAATGTAGCTGTCTGTCTCCTTCTTTTTTTTGTCCTCCGTTTTCAGCTATGTTTTTACGTGAAGAAGTTGAGTCACCCTCACCTCATGGTCGTGCAGCTTCCGGCCCACGATGCGGAAAGTGCCGTTGACCGTGTGTTGGTAGATGTGCACCTTGGAGAGGCCGCTCGAAGAGCCACTGGGCACCCACTTCTTGTTGTGGTCATCGTACACTAGCACAGCCGCCCGGGCCGACGCCACAGACTGCTCACTGCACATGCAGAAAAAAAGGAACAATGGCACGGTCAACTCTCATAGCTCAGAGAAGAAAACGTTACAAAAGCCAATACACCAGTGACACATGCTCAGAAGTTTAAGGTTTCAGGCTCAGTCACAGCTGCGACTAGCGCTGGTCGTGCGCCTATTTGTCAGTGATGACCAAAACGTTACTCACAGAGACCGCTGTTCACACCTGCATGCTACCTATACCAGTCACCATACTGAATTCATGTCTGCTCATGATGGATCACATTGCCACTGCATCGTAAAATAAGCTGGTTCCTGTGCATGTGACTGGGTCAGATGCATGTGACTGCAGTTGTGTGATGGAAAAAAAAGTTTTTGTAGCAGGCAAGTGAGCCAAATCTGTCACATTGCGACCAAACTAGTTATTTGTGACTTACTTGGACACCCAACTGTTTTAAAGACAGGTGTGAAAGAGCCTTTAGTTTTACTGGCATTTGCCGGCATTAAGAATTTGAACTAGGTTCATGCGTACCTTCTGCCCAGTTATGACTTGATGCCAATCAGTACTCTACGTGTCAATAGAAAACTTTGGCACTATCAAATGTAAATGTTTGTTCACGAACTAGCTACTCTGCTTTGTCAACAACAAATGACGAAGGCAGGTAAAAGACTACGTAAAAAAAGAAAGTAGTACATGCAATGTACGATGACATGAGGAATCATTAAACAATCATTAAAAATGGCATTGAGAAGCTGACGCAAAATTTGTCAAAGCAGCAATGAATGTGTAAATCGTTGGCAAATGCTTATAGCAAAGAACAATGTTTACTCATCATAGGTGTGAGACACAAAAATTTAGTCAACGGATGATAAGGTACGTACGAGTTCCACAGAGGTACTTTGTGGAAGTTCTTATCAGACGAAATTCGGATGATTATTAAGTGTAATTACTGTTTGTCTTATAGTACATGTATCACTATGTGTTAATGATGCCTTATATGACCAATTATGCACGCCTGCCAGATGGGTTCTAACACACCCCGCCATGGTGAGCGAATGCCTCATGTAATGACAATGCCGATAGTTAAGAATTTTTAAACAAAGCATTCATTCTGCAGCACCACATCTATACGTAGAAGTAATGTTCGATACGACATGCGGTACTGACATTAAAAAATTTCAGCCACCAAAATGACTACACAGCAGATGACCTTTCCAGACAATGCTATTGATCATGCCTGATAAGTGTATGAGCTCATTTTGTGACACAATCATCGGTAAATGTGTAGAATTGTGCTGCAATTGCACAGTAGCGGCACTGATAAAGCAATTCATGTATGATTCATGTAAGCCATTCATGTATACCTCATAATGCCGTCTGCAAGTTACTGTCGGTTGTACGAGTCAAAAGTTTTGTAAGCGCTTAGCTTTTGTTCATATTTCTCTTTGGATTCATTGTTGCATGGATGGCAGGCATATCATTAACAGTTAGTGTAAGCATAAAACAGAGAAAATACTGTTGGCTTATGGATCCTAACATGTGAAGCACAGTAAACAATGGCAAAATGCACCGACCTGCTGCTGTGCAAAGACACCGGCGGTGTAGAACAAGAAAAAACCACTTTACCTAGGACAACTAAATGTTTATTGATTCCAACAACCACTTTCGTTGCTCTGTTCATGATACATGTCTGCACCATTACAGGAATGGAATAAAACCTGTTCTTAAATGCCAATAAAAGGAAACTCAAGAGACTTCGAACTGCTCCAAATCTCACCATGGCTCAACGACAATGACATCATTCTTGGAACCCTGAAAATTCTTGCGCATCTCGCGCACACGAGAGGTCATCCTTTCAATCCAGCCGAACAGCAAACAAGTTCGTCACAGTGGAAAAAGCACTTCGCACAAAGTGGGCAACAGCTAAAAGGAATATAACCACCGTTCTTTAAACTAGTGCACCACGAGCCTCACCACAACACAAGCACAGGGTAGGCCACCGCGAAAAGACATTGGCAACAGTAGCCAACACAGTTGAAACACGGCACTCGCGGATTCTTCTTCGAGTCGAATGTGACACTTGTCAACTTCCAGCCACGAAGACAGCGAGGGCAAACCCGGTACCCCTTTCACTCTTTCTTCTCAGACGTGCTAATTAACCAATTAGGAAGCGGCACCGTAGACGCTCGCCGCCCCGTCATGGAAGACCAGGGCCGAGGCCTTGAGCCAAGGGCAAAGGATGGATGGATGGAGGCGAGATGGGCTCCTCGGTTCGACGGCGACAACGCACCACGGAGGCGGTGTTGTGCAGGAGCTCGCGCGCTACCTAGAAGCGCGGCACGGCAATCTTGCAGAGTCAGCGCGTTTCGAGGAGCTGCGCGGGCAACAGGGCAAAGAGGGGGGGGGGGGGGTGCAGCGCAACTAAGCGAAACAAAGTAACGCGCGCCTCGCAAACACTCATAAATATGATATACACGCACGTGTTCATCGGGCTCGGCCCGTTTGCCAGGGATGCTCTCAACACAAAACGAACTCAACAAAATAGAGTGCGCTGGTTGAGGTGTCGCGGGGTTTCGGAGAAGGCAACGATGTCAGTGCAAAACAGTGTAGAGAGGAAAAGAAAACGAAAAAAAAATGCAACGACTGTTTCGACGATGTGTGCAAACAGACAACTCTAGCGGGTGGTTCCAGTAAAAGGGCCGCCACACAGGTCGTTCGTAGGTGCGAAAACTTTCTCAAGGGCGAAGCATAGCTTCGATAGCTTCTGTACTCCGCAGTGTGTATCAATAAACCAAACAAGCGTAGCAAACAAATAAAGTTCAGCGATGCAAGTGCACGCCTTTCTGCACCGTCGCCTGCTTAGTTCTCGATAGCAGACGACAAGCTCAGACGCTGACGAGGACGATGTTCGTTCGCCCGATTGGACAGCGCGCTTTCCGTTGTGAACGAAATGCAACGTTGGGCGCAGGTGCAGCTCGCGGTCCGCAAGTGCTTAGACACGAGCCAAAGAAGTGCGGCGTGTGGCCCTCCGCTGCAGTGACTCACCCAGCAACCCATTATGCTGCCGCTGGGAAGTGTAGATAAGCCTGTCTAGAAGGCAGCAGCAATGCTGCGTGAGGTGGTACCTCATGGGGCTGTATATCTAGAAGTTCTTCTTCTTGAGTATCGGTAGGGTACCTTGCATACATAGCGGGTGAGGCGGCTAGAAAGAGTACTACATAAAAGCAAAAGAAATGCCCAACGATAACTTCGGTATTTACCATATAGGACCTTAAAAATGCATCTTTCAAACACACATTATCGTTTATAGGTACGCATACAAAAGCGCAGTAGAATTATCCATATTTTGCTGTGGAATAGAATTGCCAGAATGTTCGCAAACAGATGATTAACGAATATAAAATTTGTACCACAACAGAAGCGACCATAAGGCAAGGTGCAAGCGTATGCTAGCAACGATTACCCCATCATTTGATTAACAAAGTTTAGACTAATTGATATTGCACTGATCAGCCACAGTCTGTCCGAGTGAAACCCCTGTGGTACATCCATAACCCAGGTAGTCAACGCCGCGTTACAAATTACAACGGCGATGAATCCACATCGACGAAGATTACTTGCAAAAAGGAAAACAGACACGAGACTTATTTTTATGCGTTACGCAAACAGTTGCAAATCATTCTTACGTCAAACTAAAAAGGCTATCAGGAAAGACGGCAACGTCGGAAAAACAACCATAACATGGTGAAAAGCTTGTTTGGTCGATTGTACAACACGGTTATTGCGCGAAGGACAAGATCGCTTCCAGGTACAGCGCAAATTTAAGTCATTCTTACGGAGATCAACTTAATTCATGGTTAACAATCTACCGCAGTTCAAGGGCCCTTATCACTGATCTACAGTCAAAGACTTCTGAAACTAAAGCTAAAGACACCTTCTGGACGAAGTTATAACAGTTCTACGGCGATCTCTGGCGAACAAACACTATGAATACGCGCAAAAAGGAAAGGACAAACAAAAGATAAGGTGCGATAGGTGAAAGCAACAAATCTGTGTCAACTCTCACTTCTAAACATAGGTACGGGGGGGGGGGGGGCACTATAGTCACCTCAGATAGGACGGGAGGGGGGAACGGGAGCAGCAAAGCCTGCCCCATACTTTGACTCACTGCGATGAACCTTCGCCACTCCTGATTACCCTCCCCTCCCCCGCTTCCCTCTGAAGGGGAACCCTGAGCACGCATATGCTTCTAAAGCAAATATCGTAAAATGTTCGTAAAGCAAATCAAATCTAATTCGGGTGATCGCAATGCTGCCGCCAACAGCGCGAGCAAGTTGTTTTGAGAAAGACGATATACACCCAGGCGCTAAAGGCAGAGACGAGCGAAAAAAAAGAGGGGAGCGTGAACAACGGAAGACAAATCATACCGTCGAGACGTCATCCGGCCAGCCGAAAGCGCTTATAGCAGCTACGCACTCTAAGTGCTAAGTGACGTCTCCGAATATCACCCAGGCCCGGCAGCAGCGGCAAGCAAACATTTGACTACATGCAAACCACGATAGCGCACGCGCGACGAAACGGTGACGTCATAAACCGCACCATGCAACACGCGACGTCAGAGGACACAGCGGGTATGTAACGGTTCACGGCGGGAAAAGGTGTGTGTGTGTGGCGGGGGGGATTTGAATTTGAAACAGTACGCACCACGGAGTCAATTAGAACACACTGGGCGGCCAATCCCGGCAGCTCCCACTCAGCAAGACGCTATGACGTCAGCGGAAGGAGAGCAGCTCGAACGGATGCATGTAGTAGGCGAGTTTTTTTGGCATATAAGGAGATATGTCCAACGCGACCGTCATAAACCCATCGCTGCGTCAGTCCGAAAATGTCGCAACGTTCGAAGGAATAATAGTCGTTCTGCTTCCAGAACATGGCAACGACGTAAGACGAAGCAAGCAACAGATGCTCGCAAGCAAATGATAGAAAAAAAAAGGTTGTACGCACTTTCTAATAAAATTTCGGAAAGACAAACACGCGGGCTCCCACGCATGCGATAAAGGAGCAAAAAAAAAAAAATCAATGCACTGCACAGCTGCAACGCTTTGTAAAACAAGATGCAAAAGCTGAGCAAGTCTGAACGCGCGAGAACTGTTTTCGCGCGCATACTTTCTCAACCTTCAGGCGGATTGTCTGACGAAGACAATGCTTAGCACACAAGGTTGGATGTTTGGTGTCGTTAGAATGCAACGCATTCGCCTTCACCGACGTAACAAAATCAGGCCCAGCCATACTCCGCTAGTTGAAGTGTGACGTCAAATACGAAATGTTGCGTATAAAGCCTCTGAGATTTTCCGGGAAAAAAAAACATAACATGCTGACGGCGGTGCGTCTGCCACCCTTCTTCTCTCATTTCCCTCTCGCGCGCGTTCAGCTTACCATTGTTTTTCACTAAAACCCAATGATTCATGCAGGTTCGTGCCCGGACGTATATCTCCAAATTCAATGAGAGCATGCTCCGTCGCCTACATTGCTTCGCCACAGCATACGCATTGTTCTTCTTTACTGAATATCGCTTTATAACTATACGCGTTCTAGGGCAACCCAACCTCGTTTCAAACAGCAAGGCGTTTCCCCTCGAGTTATCATAAAAGGCCTCCCTCCCCATTTTGTTTCTGCCCTTTAGTTAGTTAATCAGAGCCGGGCTCTTTTACGATTTCTTTTACATCTTTGCCTTCCAATAAATCCTCTCCGACTCTTTACAGTATGTCGCTTACACTGACAGCAATATACTTGCTGGTGCAGTCTCTTATACGGTTCTTTTTCTCCACTCTGTGTCAACGCTCTTTCTATAGAAATACCAGAACACTTCCTCCATCAATCCACTCTCTCCGATTCACTAGCCTCTCCTGTAACCTCTATTCACTCTCAACTTCCCTCGCCTTAAAACTTTCTGAATCCATATCACCCTTTTCCCGAAAGCGCCCAATGTAAGACGTCCTGCAGTACTCTGATGCACATGTATCCTTTCCCGACCGCCACTCTGACCTCATGCACAGCACTGAGTTTCCAAATGGAAGCCCCGGAAGTGTTGCACCTCTCCACAGACCTATTGTATCCCAATACGGCTCTGTGCTTCACTGTTGCATTGTTCATCTTTCCCTCTGCTGCCGAGGATTTTTCCTGTACTCATGCGTACTTGTCAGCCTCAGTACTTTTTGGCTATGCATTGACCCCGCCTGATAATTGGGATTGCTGAATACCGCCAACCTGCATTTTGTTACACTACATACCACTTCTAGAGCTTCACATTCCCTAAGTCACTTCGTCTGTCCAAAAATAGGAATATAGTCACCATGAAATAAACCTCGAAGATTCTGGTCAATCGTCACACCACCTTGTTTGTGTGACGGATTAAAACCAATGCTGCTCTATCTTCTAGCGTTTGCAGCAACGGAGCCCGCGGAGCGCCCCCTGGTGAAGTCGTCGGGGGAAAAAAAGAGGAGACTCCCCATCACTCTTTCCCATTTCTCCCCAAAAATTCCCCCGCAGAGCGCTAAAAATGGCACCTTCACCTACTTCCGTCGCCCATATCGCGGAAAAGGCGTCGCGTGCTTTTGGACTATCATCGAGGCACACAGCTGTCCGCGAAACCCGCAAAGACCTTAACCTTGTCGCCTGCGGTGCTACCTTGAAGAAAAAGAAGGCGAGAAAGGAAAGAGACCAGACAAAACAAGACACACGGCGGTCCATGGCGTGCTGCATGCCATGGTGAGAAGTGGGCGTGCGTGCATGGAAATCTACAGGACGAAGAGGAAAGCGAGAGGGAGAGGGTGAAAAGCGCGCGTATAACAATCGATGGCGTTCATTAGGAAAGGCGGGGGCGACACGCTCGCCAAGGCGCGTCGATCGCAGCGGCTGGCTTCCTTTGTGCGACGTGTACACCTTTCGCCTTCTCATTAGCGTCCGAGCAGGGCTCGAACTCGCGTAGGTTTGGCGTCGCGGATCGCTGAACTCTCGACGCAGTTCGTACACGCACCGGCGGTATTTAGTATACAGACCCGCGCAACGCACGTATACGTGTAGACACAGATGACTCATACGGCGTTGCAGACGGTGTACGTAAAACCACAAACAACGGCCGGGTGAGCGCACGCCGCCGATTCGTATACGAAGCGCCGGACTAGAATAAGGCGTGCTACTGCAATAGAAGAGGTCTTAGGAGGGTCGGGACCTTGCCGGTACGATTCCGTTGTA